TTGAGGTTGCTGTGAGCTAGGATGACGCCACGGCACTCGCTCTAGCCAGGGCAGCAGAGTGAGACTCTGTCTCAAAAAAAAAAAAAAAAAAAAAAAAAGAGGTAGACACCGTTGTCCCATTTTATGGATGAGGGGCCCAGAACCAGGGCCAGGGCGGCGCCCTCAGTCCCATCTTCAGGCATTCAGGCACACCCGGTTCACCGCAGCTCTGGGAAAGCCGGCATGAAGAAAGGCCAAGGCGTCAGCCCGGGGCCACACGCGTCATTGACGACAGCCAGAGCAGAGCCGAGTTCCCGGAACTGCCACACTGCGCGACGCCAGGCTGTTCCCAGGGCCCTCCAGCTCCTCGGTGGCGGCGACGCAGGCTCTGTCCGCCCCAGGGGGGCGCAGAAGGGCGCGACGGTGCCAGGAAGCCGCTTGCGAAGCCCCAAGACTCGCTCAAACTCAGCTCGGCCAAGCTCAAGGTGAGGGGGCGCTCGGCCGCGGTCCAGCCCACCTGGGTGCGGTCCCAGAAGGCGGCGACACCGCTCTGTCCTCGCCCGCGCGCGCTCCGCTCCCCTCGGCGACCCGCTGCCTCCCCGCCCCCGCGCGCTGCTCCCCGGGGGCGACCGGCTCCCCCGCTTTTCCGGGCCCCAGCGCGTGCGGGGCGGCGGGATCTCCCGGAGCGGCGGGGCGCTTTGCAGACCCGGCGTGCGTGCAGGTTAACATCTTCCCCACCCGCCAGAGCAGAGGACTGTCGGGAAGCAGCTGACTAAACCTCAGTTTTGAATGTAGAGTTCGGGTAGGAGAATGTGACCCGGGCAAGTTCACAAGAGTTCAAGGAATGACAGCGTTCGGAAAGGCCGAGGCCAGCTCACTACGTGCGGAAGTTAAAAGGCATTTGCATCGGAAAAAGATGCTGGTCGTCTTCCCCCACCCTCGCTCGCAACTCACAAAAACACCCAGTGGGGTGGAGCCGGAAGGAATTACAGAAAGGACGCCCAGGACGTTGGGAGGGGGGCTACAGGGAAGTTCAAAGTTAGTCGTCAGAGGCCAGCTGCTTGGTCTCTAAAAATCTCAGAGCAGGACGGGACCTCAGGGAGCATCTACATCTCCTCCCCGCCCTCCAATATATAGCTCCTGGGTGTCTGCGGTCACCCAACTTATTCTCCGCAGGGTCAGGTCTAGTAGCCCAGAACTCCAGTGCCTCCCCAGGCTTAGTGTATAATTAATAAAATATGTAAATGGCGTTTTACAAATAGCCTTTGTGAGCTCAGAAACTCAGCATGATCAGCAGCTGGGTATTGGCAAGCTCAAGCCATCTTTGTCGTTCCTCCTTCTCCAGGTGCTTGCCAGCCTGCACCCCCTGGCCCACAGCAGAGCAGCCGCAGGACTCCAGGCAGCCCAGGACTTTAAAGAACCCCGAGTAAACAGGGTTTGGGTAAAGCGGACGACGGGAGGAAGGGCAACCGGGTGGGCAAAGAGCCTGAGCTGGGGGCAGAATGAACTAGTCCACCGGCCCTTATAAACGTGTTGGCCTGGCTGGCCTTGAACCTGAAATCCACAGGGAAGGGACCCCCTGGGGAACTGGCTGAGGGAGGGCACCTACAGCACTTCACCCGGGGTTTAATTCACGGTGGGTGTATTAGCTGAGATCCTTATACTCTAGAAGTCTGTCATTTAGGAGAAAACCAAAATGTAAATATTGCTGTAGAAGGGAATGTTGTGGCAAGAAAGTATTCTAGTTCAGTAATAGAAAACCCTGTTCCCCTGGTTGTGTATGACTAATAGCAGCAATAACAAAAACAGTGCTTACTATGTGCCAAGCACTGTTCTAAGTGCTTTATAAAAATTAGTTCACTTCCTCCTCTCGACAAATCCATGGTTGTTACTTTTTTTTTTTTTATCAGTACCATTTTACACATGTGGAGGCCGAGGCACCAAGAGGTTGCCCACGGTAAGCAGGTGCAGCTGAGGCAGAGTGGTGTGACACCAAGCACCCTGGTCTGGCTGCAATCAGGAGATTTGGGTGCCAGGGCTTCCACTCTCTGGTTGTGTGAACTTAGCTTCTCTGAGCCTCAGTTTTCTTATATGGGAAATGCACAGTGTAATCCCTACCTAGAGAGGCAATGAATGTGCAGGCACTGTATGAACTGTGCATTGTGATTCCAGTAGAAAGTATTATTATTTAAGTGAAACCTTGCACTTCCAAGACCAAATCTCAACTAAAAAGAGAAAATGACGAGATGACTTGGACTTGCAGAATTAATGGGGTTACCCGTCACCAAGAGGCAAACATACAGTCTTAGCTAAAATCATAGGGTTTGGAATCACATTCCTGCATTGGAATCCCAGCCCTGCCACTCATTAACTCTGTGACCTGAGACAAGTTACTAAACATTTTTGAAACTGTATTATCTCTGTGATCCTCCGTTTACTCATACGTAAGACGGGCCTAATAATACATTCCTCATACAGCACTTATGAGGATTAGATGAAATGCATCTAATACAATGCCTACAAGTAGTAAGTGCTCAATAAAATGTAGATGGGGGCTTTTGTTTTTTCTGATTCTTCTTCCTCCTCATTTCCCCTCGTGTGCCTCCCCTCCAAAGACAGCCTCTCTGGAGCCCAGCATGTGTGGGGGACTGATGGAGAGGTATGTGGCTGCCATGGTGCTGAGTGCGGCTGGAGATGCCTTGGGGTACTATAACGGAAGATGGGAGTTCCTCCGGGATGGGGAGAAGATACACCAGCAGTTGGCCCAGCTGGGCGGCTTGGACGCCCTGGACGTGGGAAGGTGGAGAGTGAGCGATGACACGGTGATGCACCTGGCCACAGCGGAAGCCCTCCTGGAAGCTGGGGAAGTCCCAGACTTGGCTCGACTGTATTCTCTCCTTGCTAAGCATTACCAAGACTGCATGGAAGATATGGATGGCAGGGCACCAGGTGAGCCAGCCAGAGGGAGGGCAGGGAGGGTGGAGAATAAAACTGGCCCAAGGAAATCACTAAGAATGTCAACGGAGATTTAAATATCAAGGAGACGGTAGTGTTTGTAATTGTGATAAAAATGGAAACAACCTAAATGTCTCATAATTTACTTAATTATGGTGACACGTTGTCAATCATTTAAAATTATGCAGGGTGACTGTAGTCAGTAATAATGTATATTTCAAAATCAGTAAATTTCAAATGTCTCAGAACAAAAAGTGATAAGTGGGTGGCAGATGTGTTAATTAACTTGATTTAATCATTCTATATGTATACCTATATCAAATCCTCTCATTGTATGCCATAAAGGTACCCCATACAGTTATGATTTATCAGTGAAAATAATATTAAAGTAAATGAAATTATGCAGATAAATACTGATATAGGAAGGTATTATATACTTAGTGAAAAAAATAGGTTACAAAACAGTATGTATGTTATGAACCCAGTGTTCTTTAAAGAATAGATGTGTATCTCTATATTGGGAGAGGTCTGAAAGAACATACACAAAGATAATAATTATATCTGGGTGATGGGTTCTTATTTAAATTTTACTTATTTGTATTTTCTAAGTTTTCTGCGATGAACAAGCATAAAGAAAAATATTTTGTTTTCTTTTTTAAGAAGAATGGAAAAGGTCTTATAGAAACTCCTCTTCTGGTCCCAGGGCTGCCCACAAGTGGTTCTTGCCCACTTTGGGAACTTGTTGTAGCCACTTGGGCCAACAGGTGATTTTCCCCTTTCTCTGGCCCACCTGACCTACCTCTCTCCTGTTTTAGTCTGCTAGGGCTAACAACAAAATACCATAGGCTGGGTGGCTTAAACAAGAGAGATTTATTTCTCACAGTTCTGGAGGCTAGAAGTTCATGCAAGTCAAGGTGTTGGGGTTTGGTTTCTTCTTAGGCCCCTCTTCTTGGCTTGCAGATGACCACCTCTCTCTGGGTCCTCACATGGTTTTTGCTCTGTGCACATACATCCATGGTATCTCTCTGTGTGTCCACATTCCTCTTCTTGTAAGGTCACCAGTTAGATTGGCTTAGGGCCCACCCTAAAGGCCACATTTTAACTTAATCACCCTTTAAAGGCCCTATCTTCAAATAGAGGTATTGCGTATTAAGGCTACAGCATATGAATTTGGGAGACAAAATTCAGCCCATAGTACTACCTTATGAAAAGCTCTTCACCGCCATACCGAGTAGCCTCTGGTGACCCTAAGGACTGGCCTTAGAAGCCAATCTCTGTTCACTCTAAGTATCTGATAGCTCATCAGTTTGGCAAGCAGAAAGTTTTCGTTGCCTGTGCCATCCATGAACATTGTTGTGAATGAACTGACCAATAAAGGAACAATAATACCACATTCCCTAGTACGTTGCTGCCATTGTTTAGTGCCTGTACAGATTCATAGCTCCCTGGTAAGATAAGTCAATGGGACAAACCTGCTTACACACTGTCAGGTAGGGGACAGCCAAGGCCCAGTAGTTCAGTGACTCATCCAAGGGTACATTGCTCCCCTGAATCCACTGCTCCTCATCTGAGCCCAGGGCTTCACTCTGGAATTCGTGGCCTCTTTGTGATGATTCTCAGGAACTCCACTTGTCAGGTTCTTACCGGAGTCCTTAGGGCAGGGGTCCCCAACCTGTGGTGAATTGTATGATTATTTAATTATATATTACAATGTAAGAATAGTAGAAATAAAGTGCACAAGAAATGTAATGCACTTGAAAGATCCCAGAACCATTCCCTACCTCCTCAGTCTATGGAAACATTGTCTTCCATGAAAACAGTCCCTGGTGCCAAAAAGGTTGGGGACCTCTGCCTTAAGGTCTTGGGCTTTGGAGTGTGGTGAATTTTATCTGGCCACTGACTAGCTGGTTATGTGATTTTGAGCAAATTTCTTAAACTATGAGCTTTACCTTATTTATTTTAAAAAAGAGAATAATACGTTATACCTACTTTTTTGATATGTTGTGATATCTCAGTAATAACTGTTAATGATTCCAGGGGTCGCTACATGAGTCTGCTGCTTTTGCTAGTGCTGTCATGCTTAGGGTGGTATATCAGGTAAGGCATGTTGCTGAGTTGGAGTTTGGAGTCTGGGGACATTTGTCATCGTATTTTTCTGGCTTTCCCTTTCCATCAAAGAAGCCTGGAGACAGTTCAGTTCTTTCTTCCCCCTGGGGTCTTTGCTTTGGTTACACTGACCTCGGTGCCCTGCCCGACTCTTCCCCAGGCGGTGCCTCCATGCAGAACGCCATGCAGCTGAAGCCAGACGAGGCCGATGGCTGGAGGATTCCCTTCAACGGCCATGAGGGTGGCTGCGGAGCTGCCATGCGGGCCATGTGCATCGGTCTCAGGTTCCCTCACCCCGGCCAGCTGGACACGCTGATCCAAGTGAGCATTGAGAGCGGGCGAATGACCCACCACCACCCCACGGGCTACCTGGGGGCCCTTGCATCTGCTCTTTTTACAGCCTATGCCGTGAATGGCAAACCACCTAGGCAGTGGGGAAAAGGACTGATGGAGCTGCTACCAGAGGCTAAGAAGTACATTGTCCAATCAGGCTACTTTGTGGAGGAAAATCTTCAACACTGGTGAGTCTGTAGGAGCGTGCACCTGCCAGAACATGGTTAAACCTGTGTGTGCACACACCCCTGCACATGTATGTCTAGGATTCAGAGATTGTGGTTCTCACTGCGGAGTCCCCTCCCGGCCCGCCTGCCAAGGATTTCAAGTTCCTTTTCAGCAGTGGTTGTCACGAAGTAGCCAAGTATGATAAATACCTCAATGGGTAGCACAGCTGCATTGCCTTCCTCTTACGGAGGAATCCTGTCTTGTGTTCCAGCTTTTTGTAGTTTTTGTGGCTGTCCTGTGCTGAGATGAACTTTCATGCTTATTTCCTATTTCTCTAGAACTTGCTTTTTCCATGTCATCTTGACGCATAAATACTATTTTCAAATCCTTGGTTAAAATGTCAGAGAGAGGTTTTTCCACTAGCTAATTAATAAGCGGTAAGGCCACGCCTTCCCCTTTTTGTGAGTTCACTTCACATTCTCTTTCTTAGAATAAAAAAGGCTTTCTGCTCAATCACCCATGGTCATGATGTCCTGAAGTTCCCCCTTGAAAGGTGACATGACATATTGTCAACCCAGGACAAACAAACCTTTATTTCCTACCCTTTAACTTCATATTTGTCTTCTTTGTTCGGCGACAGGGTCACTGCCTTGTTTATGTAGATCCTTAGTAAAAATTTATTGACTGAATAGTATTTAGAGGTAATCTTGATTTTTATGTAGTTTATATATTAGTACAAAAAGTTGATGTTATCTTGGAATTTCCTCTGTTTGCACATCTATCTGGTGCTTTTCTTTATGGCTTTTTACTTTATTTTTTCCTTCCTATAGGTCCTACTTCCAAAACCAGTGGGAAAAGTACCTAAAACTTAGAGGGATTTTGGACGGCAAATCAGCCCCTACCTTCCCCAAGCCCTTTGATGTGAAGGAGAGGGATCAGTTCTACACGTCCCTGAGCTACTCTGGCTGGGGTGGCAGCAGTGGGCACGATGCCCCCATGATTGCCTATGACGCCGTCCTTGCCGCAGGAGACTCCTGGAAGGAACTTGCCCACCGAGCCTTCTTCCATGGTGGAGACAGCGATTCGACAGCCGCCATTGCTGGCTGCTGGTGGGGAGTGATGTATGGTTTTAAAGGAGTGAGTCCCCCCAACTATGAGAAACTGGAATACAGAACCCGGCTGGAAGAGACAGCTAGGGCTTTATATTCTCTCGGTCAAAGGAAGACACCGTAATTACCCTTTAGGGAGATGTGTTGTTCATTTCTGGTGGTTTCTTCTTTTGAGTATTCCCATTTCTGCTCCGTTTCTTTTCACTTTTTCCACCAAAGAGTCTTAACCTTGTACTCAGGAGTTGAGATGACAAATCCCTGGGGTTAAGCTTAATCTTTTCAGATTCATCCTGTTCTCCCTGAATCTGTCCCTCTTCTTATATTGAAGAGTCTTTTATCTCAGTTGATGGGATCAGTAACTCCCAAGACAGAAATCCCCAAACCTCATATCTGAGTCTTCATTTTCATCATGTAATTGTTCTAAAGTTTTTTCTGTTTGTCTTAGGTTTTAGGGGCAGGGGCAGGAACCCAACAGCCTTACGGCCACATGTGGCCTTCTAGGTCCTAGGTCCAAACCTGCCTTTGGACTGAATCCAAATTTTACAGAACAAATCCTTTTATTAAAAGGGTGCAGCAGAGAACGGTGAAGCTTTTCTTGCCTCCTTTGGTGCATAAAAAAAGAACAATCTGGAAATCATAAGGCTTCAGGTTCCCCACCCCTGGTGGGTTCTCCCACAAAGTGGACTCTGAGACAAGGATTTGAGTGCAAGTAGTTTGTCTGGGAGGTGAGGAACTACTGGTAGGAGAATGGGGAGGTAAGACCAAGAAGGGAAGGGAGGGTTAGTGAGTGGGTTTCCACCGTGGCCATTTGGGCCTCGGTCATCTGGGTCCCCTGCTAAAGGCAATTCTCAGAGTAGTCCCACCTGAAGGGCAAGCAAACCAACTTCCATCTGTCATTGGTTGAGGACCACTCTCAAGGATGCCAGCTCCCTGGTACTTCTTGGCTTGCCTTTTGTACAAGCCAAACCTGAATGTCTTCAGGTAAAGACTAAGAGATGCTTGCAGTAGCAAGCTGTAAGGTGCGTGGGAACTATGAGGGTATATGTGGGGTCCTAACAGCATCTACTAGACTCTTCTACCTCCTAAATATCTTTGAAAACTATCACCTCTTTTATCTTCATGCACTGAGTATTTTCAGCTGGATTTCTGCAATCCACGCTGCCCATGTCTGGAGAGGTGCTACTCCCAGCTGCCCTCAGTACTTTCCTCGTCAGGGCACCTGACATGTTACCAATTTTGTTATTGTCTGTTTTCTTGTCTGTAATCGTCTGGACAGAATCCGGATGGTGCCTGGGCACGCCACAGGCGCTTCATCAGTACGTACGCAGTCGTCGTCGTCAACTCGCCTCCTGTCTGGTGCCTCCCTCATTACGCTCCAGGTCATCTTTACAAATAACAAATCGATCATGCTGAACTTCAAATCAGGTTCCCATGAATACATTATTCCCTTTCTTCACGTCTTGATGCTCTTTCCTCTCCTTTTCCACCTGGTAAATTCGTACTCATCCTTCAAGACCCAGCTCAGATAGAACTTCCTGCGCGAAACCTGCTTCGATTGTTCAGGCACTTGGCCACCTTCTAACTGTACCCACAGCCTCCTGTCCCAGCCCTGTCGCCACCCTGATCCTGTTGTGTGGTGACCGTGTGTCTTCTGGGTCAATCTCAGGTGCACTCTGCCCAGCAGACATCCAACTCAGAAATGGCATGCCATCGTCACCTTCATCTGGTCACCCTAGTCTCAGCCATGGGCCTGCTCTCGTTTGGCTTGTTGTCAGGCAGTAGGGAAGAGCGCTCCCTTCCTTCCCCTTTCCAGAAAACCCAGAACTATGACTCTCACAATTTTTCCTTCAGATCCCTGGTTTTCAGCAAGGGGAAGTGGGGAAGGGAGGTCTGATTGCAGTGGTCCTGCTGCCTCCTAGTTAGTCCCACAGGGATTTGCTTTTCCAAGTCCTTCCAGTCCCTTAGGACATGGCATGTGTGGGGGGTAGGGGAGGCTCTGGCGTAAGGCTTTAGCTGCAGTTGTACACAGAGGAAAGCTCTTTAGAGACCCCATTATGTTTGCTCTGTCAATTCTCACTCTTCATCACAGGCACACTTCAAAAACAGTTTAGACTTTCGTACTCCTTTTCATCAAACCTCAAAACCTCCTCCCCAGACTTCACTCTCAACTGGTGGCCTTGCTTCCTTGTCTGTGTGTTTGTGCGTGTGAGAGAGAGGAGGGAGGATGACAGTGATGGGGGGAAGGAGACAAGCTTAATTGTATGCATAATGTTAGAGTAAATCAATAAAGGTGGTGCGACACACAGTATGAGTCTGTCATGTGTATCAAGTTAATATATGTGTACTGAAAAGCAGAATAGGTCATATGTGACATTTCAGGGATTGCTGGTACTTTTTCGAGCTGCTGTGTGATGAGGTTTCATTTGCTTGCTTTCTTACCCAAGATTGCTAGAAGTCTAGAAGGCTTGACAATAATTATTTATTTATTTAGGAGACAAAGTCTCATTCTGTCACCCTGGTTAGAATGGTTAAGGACACAGGGGTCATTCAGATAGGGATGGGGGCAGCCTGCCATCATTTTTTTTTTTCATCTTTTGAGTTTGGGATTGGGGAGAGTGACACCCAGGGAGTAGGTGAGGCTCTTCCCATTGGGGGAAGAAGAAAGAAGAGGAAGAAGAGAGTGTTGCCATGTATCAGACAGTGCACAACAACCCATTAATAGATGAAGAAGTTGGGCTCAGAGAGGTTGCTATCTATCTAAAGTCACACAGCTAGGATGAGATGGAGCTGGGATTTAAACCCGGTCTGTTTGTCCTATAAAAGACAGGAAAAAATCAAACCAAAGTGCTTTTCCAACTCTCACACACTATTCAACATGATACTTCTGACACCAAGGGGTGAGAGTTGGGGAGTGTTGGGGAGTGCTGTCCACATACCAGCCCAAACGATGGGAAACACTGGTTCGCATGGTCCTCTATTAGTAGAGACTTCCCCACACACCAGGTAAGTCTCTAGCAGACATCAGCTGGTTGTCCTCTAATTTAATTCAATTCTGACGCTGTCAGATCCCACGAGTTAAAGGCTCAGTCCTGCAAGACTGCCCCCCCATTTCAGATGCCAGTCACACATCACAGGTTGTGACCTGTGCTTCTGACCAACTGGCTATAAGTCAGGGTTCCTAAGACCCCCTCCTCAGGTGCTATTAATTTGCTAGAGCAGCTCACAGAACTAAGGGAAACACTTATGTTTATTGGTTTATTGTAAAAGATGTCACAAAAGATACAGATGAAAGCCAGATGGAAGAGATGCATGGGGCCAGCCATGTGGAAAGTGGTGCAGAGTTTCCACATTGTCCAAGCTGCCACCCTCCAGGCACCCTCATGTGTTCAGTTCTCCAAACCCGGTCCTTCTGGGTTTTTATGGAGGCTTATTATATAGGCACGATTAATCGATTACATCATTGGCCATTGGTGAGCAACTAAGACTTTAGCCCTCTCCCCTCCCTGGAGGTCCAGGGTGGATAGGAAGAAAGTTCCAAACTTCAAATCACATGGCCAGTTCCCCTGGTAACCAGCCCCATCCTGAGGCTGTCCAGGGGCCCATCACTAGAAGAAGAGATGCTCCTAGCACCCAGGAAATTCCAAGGGGTTCGGGAGCTCTGTGTCAGACACTTCTATCAGTCAGGAAATTACAAAGATCTTACAAGCTCTGTGTCAGGAATTGGGGGCAAAGACCAAATATTAGAACAAAAGATCCTCCTAGCAGCCCTATCTACAAGGGTTTTAGGAGCTCTGTGCCAAGAATTGGGACAGAGACCAAATATATATTTCTTATTATATCATAATACCACAATCTCCAAAGACTTTTTCTTTGCAGACACTCTACCACACACTGTTAGCTACAAGTATTAGAAAATCCTTCCTTAGAGAGAGTCCCAGTGGGGTAAGATGGTGATAGCTGTAAGCCTGTGCTCTCTTCTCCACCTTCACACAACTAAGAGGTGAAGTCAGGAGGAAAGCTAGTTGTGAGTTTGAGATCCACATTTGGCAGCAGGGGTAGGGGGAGGCCGAGCTGAGCCCAGGTAAAGCTGTGAAATGGACAGAGAACCTTCACTCCCCTCTCAGCCCCTGTCCCTCCTTAGCCTCCTCTTCCTCTGTCCTCATCCTGCCCCTTGACCCAATGGAGACCCACCCAGTGCTTGGGCCACGATCTGGACCTCTCCACACTGTGTTTGGTTACACCTGTCCCCATTTGCCAAGGTTCTTACTTCACCTTTGTGGGCCTGTGTATCATCTGTACCAGCTGGTGGACTCAGGCAAGTGCCCCCTCTCGGGGTCTCTGGGCTTGGATCCATGGACTTAAACACTAACATCCAAAGAATATGAGTCTACAATGGGGCTGACTGAAGTTGAGGATAGGATCAAAGGAAGAATCTTTTGGTCTCTCCCCATCTGCAGAGCTGCAGATAGAAGTTTGTATTTATTAATAGAGGACCATGCTTCAAACCAGTGTTTCCCATCGTTGGGGCTGGTATGTGGACAACACTCCCCAACGTTAATGCCAGCAGATGGAGGTGACACAGTGCACCTGTCAGCCCACTTCAGGGGCTGTGTCTTCTTAATAGGAATCTTCCTTCTAAAATACACTTATTAAAGCTTATTTACATAAAAACTTTAAATTCATATAAGTACAGGGGATAAGGGACTATGGCAGGAATAGGGAAGGTAGGATCCAAATGAATGAAATCGAGAAACACGGCCTTGAGCAAACAAATGGATCTCCCTCCAGCAGGGTGATTTCCACCAGAGACCTTTCTAGAGGAGGTGATATTTTTGGGGTGAGGTGGGCTTTCTGGCATCCCTTTATGCCACCAGTCTTGAATCCAGGAGACTGGGAAGGAGGCCACTCTCCGAAGGTGTACATTTTGTCCCTGTTGCAGGAACATGGTAAGTGCCATATAGTTAGGCCTAAGAAAAGCCGTGCTCTGTGGTCTTTTGTGGACAGCTGCCATTGAAACCCGGCTCTCAGGTTACTTAGGACTAATGTAAGTTGAGGCTAATAGTGCCTACCTTGAGGGGTATGATGGGCATGAGATTAGGGAACCTATATTTCGAGTAGCAGATAAGGATGTGTTTGCTGGTGGCAGTTTTTCAGATTCAAATCCATGCTGCGCCACTTTGTGTAGCCTTGGGCAAGTTATTTAACCTTGCTCTGCCTTTGTTTCCACAGGTGTAAAATGGGGCTAAGAACAGTACCTACTTTCTGGGATTGTTGTACATTCTACATAGAATAAATAGCATCTGGCACACGATAAGCCCTCAAACAAAAAGTGGGGCCGGGCGCGGTGGTTCACGCCTGTAATCCTAGCACTCTGGGATTGTTTGAGCTCAGGAGTTCGAAACCAGCCTGAGCAAAGAGCGAGACCCCGTCTCTACCAAAAATAGAAAGAAATTAATTGGACAACT